TCCATCAGGGAAGAACACGAGGTAATGAGGGGGGCGTGGCACACATCGGGATCGTACGGAGCAGGGTGTGACAATTTGTATGTATAATTTTATTATAATTGTAATTTTTTTAAGAGATAATAGAGCAATGAAAAAATATATCAAGGGATGACTAAGCAATGAAAACCATGCTTTTTATACCCCTCAAAGGACGAAGAAACAATGAAAACAGTTACACATTTTCAAATGTTTTTTTCAGACTGTGGTAAACCACAGATATAGGGGACTACTGTATATAAACAGATAAGAGGGAAGCTTGGGATCTAAGCCCAGGGTCGGGCTATTATTCAGCACCCTTGGAGCATTAGGGCCTTGCTTAAAGGCCCCTCAATTATGCGACTATTCTGCCGAGGCCAGGGCTTGAACTAACAACCTTCTAATCACACAGACTTCACCCACTGAGGCACATCCTTTTAATCCCATGGGAAGTATAAAAGGATAGATTGTGGCCATGAACAGAGGCCCTTTGCCAGCAATAGTGTACTATCTGCCAACTCCTCTTTCTCCCGCATTCCTTGTCTCACTGGGCGAGGAGTGTGGGCAAGATTGTTCATTTCCAATACTTGGAAATTTACCTCCCTCTCTCCTCCTTATAACTCAACATTTAAATACCATGCTCTTACCAACATAAACTATACCAAACAGCATATTGTTGTTAATTATCTCCCACCAGGCCTATTAGGTAACTTCACTGAACATTTACATATGCTTTTGTTAGCCGTCCCTGATGACAACTGGCCACTTGTCATCCTGGGGAATTTGAACATCCACCTTGATAAACCCCCAGCTTCCTCACATTCTTGACCTCATTTAGCTTGACCTGGTTCGGCACTCTTCCTACTTTTAAGGCTAGATACTAACTGGACCTCATGCTTAAATGGGACTGTATCCCTGACAATCCCTGCTTGTTACCCCTTTACATGATTCTGACCTGTTAAGTTCACCTTGTCTCTCCCTACTCTTCCTGATGGTGTTATGAGCTGCCGAATCACATCTGGTCATCAGACTCCCTTTCTACCTTCAAAAAATACCTCAAGACCCATCTGTTACATTAATTTCTTTATTAGCGTGATGCCTCTTTACATTCCCTGAATGTTCTTATGTTGCACTTCTGGTCCTCCTGCTTTGCTTGTACGTACACTTGAGCTTCCATCGGAAGCTCAGCCTAGCTGCACTTATGGCTAGTTGACTCTTTGACAGCATGTTAAGTGAGGAGTGTCTGTATTTTATGAACAGCTGTGCTACTGCTCTGCTAATGTAACCTTCACAATCTGCTGTTACTGATGTACTGTACAATCAGTGAAGATTGGCCACTTGGCTGTGCATATACAGTATAGGTATGAAACCTCAAACACTATTTTGGCCAGTGTTGCAATTTCATTGGCCAACCCCTGTATGCTGCAACATTCAAATGATGCTGATTTGGTAATAAGGTGCCTAATGTATCCAAGAAAACATCCCACACCATCACACTACCATCAGCAGCCTGTACCTTTGACACTAGGCAGAATGAACCCATTCATGAAATTTATGAAAATTTCTGATCATCTGTCAGACCAATGTTTTCCCATCCAGTCATGTTGATCATGTGCCTGCCGTAGCCTCACATTCATGTTCTTAGCAGATAGGAGAGAAACAGCATGGACATCTGCTGCTGTAGCTCATGTACTTCCTCACTTAATAATGTGAGATATCTTTCTGCACATCACTGTTGTACTGAGATGCTAGTTTAGAAGTTTTGGTCATTATTCTCTTACCTCTCTCATTCACAAGGTGATACCAGACATTTCTCTGTAAACTCTACACACTGTAGTGTGTAAAACCTCAAGAGGGCGTCTTTCTCTGAAAAGCACACACCACATTCAAAATCACTTAGGCTATATGTGTCTTACCCATGCTCATTCTGGAGTCAAACGGTAACAACTTCCTAACATTATCTTTTAAGTTTATTTATTGAATTTCAATCATGCAGTTTGTTGTTTCAGGATGCGGGCGTTTACGTTAATGTGCAGGTATAATGCGGTGGACACTCAGCGTGCCCTTGTTATGAAACAGTCTAGTTTCGTTTCATAGCTATATCTAAATATGGCAACAAATAAGTTTTGGTGGTTTCAGGAAAAACAGACTTGTTTTTTTCACGAAATGGCATATTTACAGATTCCAGTACATACAAAGATTCCCTAATAGCTCGATTCCCGTAAAAAAAAATAAAAAATACGTCCATTACTGAACTCTTCCGGGAAACCTAAGATGCCGCGAGAAACGCGATGCGGCGGATCTCCAAGGATACAAAACATAACACACGATCTCCTCCGCTTTCTGTTGGATCGAGCCTTCGCGAACCCGCTTGTGACATCAGAGCGTCAGGTTTCGAGCCGCCAAATATGGTCACGGAAGTGAAACGAACGCGCACGCAAGCTCGCTCCACACATGGAATGCTAAAGAGCCGTGACGACATTGTGTTCGTGCCCTGCGCTTGGCATTCAAATGACCCGGCTCTAACCGGAGCTTGTCTGTGGCCCATGTAATTGTTTACTAAGTGTGATTGAAACGTTTCCTGATAATGTCTAATAGTGTCAAAAGCATGAAGGATAAAACTCGATGGAAAGGCACATAACACCAAGAGTCTGCATTCTTTTCAGAAGAAATCCTTTAGCCCGTTACTAGTAAAATATATGAACGAAGTATTGCGGGGTTACATATTCTGTTCAGCTGGCTGGCATGGGATTTTCAATTCGAGGCAAGTTTGCACACGCATGCACATGTAACAGTTTTATTACCTTGTAAATGGTAGGATTTGCAAACTACCTCAACGCTTTTGATGTAGCTAATTTTAGGTTTATAATGGAATAATATAGATTTGCCGTACGAGTTCTTGCGTGAGCGAGTGTTATTCCAGATGCATGACAGTTGGCAACCCTGGTATTGGTTCATATTAAACTGCATTGCATTTGTACCTATTACGTGTAACATATATTTTGATCTTGATGGATGCATTATGTGCTACAACTAATGTTAATACATATTATGCATATCACAATGATTCTATAATAAATTTATAATCAAGTGGTTAAAATGAAAATGAAATATATTCATCTTTGAGGTATGCAACTACTGTAAATATGGTGTTCGTCGTTGTTCAAAACAAAGATGTGCACACCATTTGGAACCCTTTGTGAAATTCATATTATTTATTATTTTCCCATTCCTAATATTTGCGTACACCCCATCGAAACACCCCAAACACAAAACAATACGACACTATTTGCACATGATTTAACTGTTAATAAATCTATAATGTATCTGGATTTTGCAATTATGTGTACACAATAAGCTTCCCCCAAGCAGACAGTCTACAATGAATGGTCTGGCGTCTAATTATTGGCTTGTTAATTATTGGTCTCAGTACACATACAAGACTAAATCGTTGAAAATTTTCTTGTTGCCCCAATAAAGCTTCATTTCAATACAAAATGTATAACAGATTCAATTAATATTTGTAAATATGTTTTTATTTAGAGATCATAAGTAAATACGATTGGATAAACTGTTTATAAATCAATTTCTTGTGATACATATATAAAATTTTACTCTAGACACTCGAATATTTTTATAAAAATTTTAAATATTTCAATCACATGAAATTTGTTTAGTGGTAGAATTAAGCATTCAATGCTTATCAGGTTTTTTTTTCTTTTTTGCATCTGACAAGTCAAATCCTTCATTATAAAATAACAAAATACCTGTTGGTAAATTATGTTGCACAATAATTTATTTTCATGGAAAACTCCAACCTATTCAACAGAATATCATATCGCAAACAAAACCGATGCATGCAAGTACAGATAATAACAATATCCTCTCACATACTATATTCCATTTAATATAACATAATTGCTATTTACAAACAAATAGCACTTTGTCTGCTTTCACTGTATATTAAAATATCTAGCACTATATAATGAACTGAAAAAATATACTGTTTGTTAAAATATTATGGAACCTTTCTGCATGCTTTATTACTATATCATAGGCAACATCTATCTTTGGAAAATGAATACCCATGCTAATAAGCACATCCATGTTTCTCAGCATAACACATGACATGAGACCAGACCCTGAACTCTAAGCTCATGGCCCAGTAGGTTGTAACTGTTTCAATCAGTTACAAGGCAAGTAGAGTGGGGGAATTCAGAACATCTATGGCTAAATCTGCCTTGGCCAATCCAACTTTATGATTTTCATCCCCGTCAACTAAGGAATCAAACTCTGGATGGGTGAATGTAAATGTGGACAGGAAACTAGTACAGCCTGGGGTGACTGTCACAACTGGGGTACTCAATGGATCATTGTCACTGGACACAGATTTATAGAGAGTTTCCCAGTCCGTTACCCCAAGAGAAGAACTCAGGTCAATATCTGGCACTGAGCGAGTTGTATCCAGAGAGACCTTGTCCATCTCACTGATCACATCATCAAAGGGTTCCTCCTTCAGTCCCAATGTGTTTTCCAGCTCATTGATATTGCCCCTAGCACTGGAGCATAGTAAGATGTTTGAGTTTCCAGAGATAGCACTGGTTGGGAAGCTGGGGCTGTCCATGTCGTGGAGACAGTGAGCCTCAGAAGCAATGCAATCGGGTGTCCTTGGCATCTCTGGAGAAGAGTGGGGGGATCCGATGGAGTCTTGGAGCATGACCTCCAGGTTTTCTACAATTTTACATGCTGGCTTATGGGCAGCTAGAATGAGTTCCAGCTGTTCCTTCTCACTCAGAAGACTGACTATTTCATCCTGCAGAGCTGCCTTTTCATCCTCCAGCTTTTCAGTTTCCTGCAGATATGATCCCAGAGGAATACAGATTAATCTTGACAACAGGCAGGTAAGCATAACTGGTGTATTTCTTAGCTTTCAGAGTCACAAGACAAGCTACTTACAGCTTGAAGGCTGTTGGTGAGCTCCCTTCTCCTGTTGCGGCACTTTGCTGCAGCCACTTTATTCCTTTCCCTCCTGATCCTCCTTTTCTCCTCTTCTGGAGAAAGCTATTTCATGCAGGAAAATTATCTAAATGATTACGCAGATTAATCCCACCATTCCGTCTTGAAGTGCTCTGCAGTTAGTTCATACTTCAGGAAGACTAGTGAAGGTATCCTTGGCTGCAGTGCATCTAAATATAGACTGTTGTTGCCCTCTTCATGAGTTGAATACAAATGTGATAGAGCAGGGCACACAGCCAATGAACTGCAAAAATACTGCACTACTGGCAACACCTCATGCATTTTGAAGCATATAGTTTTTATTGTCACTGTTTATTCTGTCTTTTCCAGGACTGATGTGTATTTAATTTGCATTATGTCATATACAGTAGACAACATTACCTGCTGGGTTTCCCCCCATTTTCTAGTGGTTTGTCCCTTGCTCCTGCCTGTTTCAGGAATCGCCTGGATGGAATTCTGAGCTCTAACAGGGGAACTAGGGGAAGGCGAGAGGGTGGTGGGCTGGACCAACCACTGCAACTGTGGGGTGACTGAGATTGCAGTCACAGTCGGAACCAAAGCAGTAACATCTATTTCTGTGCAGAGGTCCTGCAAAATGGGTATATGAGTACTTTAAAACACACAGATTGGCAATTATAAATTAGAATGGGCAGAAATACAATTACTGAAAAAATAGACCCCATATGATATAGCACTTCCTGGTAATAGCTTATAATGTCTGAAACAATTGAAATAACTGAAAAATATGGCAACTGAAATGTGTGTAAACAACTGACTATATAGTTGTAATTTCTGTGACAGAAATATATATTTTATTCATATGCAATTTTTCCAATACACTCATCAATATAATTGTTGCTGACGTGCACCATGACGTAAAATGTTGGAGTCGATTTTTCTGAAATAATCAAACAGCCATATTTACAGATGACATTACATGCACGAGTCTCATTCTTCATGTCCCTTGGCAGCTTTATGTTTTTCTTTATAGCTGTTTAAAGTCTTTATAAGAGTAATCAATTAAATCATAGTTTGTTATATTAACTTCAAATAAATTTTTTTTTTCTTTGAAAACATATTGCCAAAAAATATTATAAAACATTGTCTCTAAAATTAATATTAACACAAAATCATTTATTTTATCCACTATGAGTGTGTATACTGTATGTAGCTGTAAATTACGTGTGTTTATATACAAATACACATACATACATATGCATACACACGATGAAAGATACACACAGGAACGGGTTACGTATACATACATACATGCAAGTACACACGTATATATACACGTATCTGTCAAAACTGTATTTTATCAGAATGGTATTTAAATAATCTAAATTATGTTTCACTGGACATCCAAAACGCATAAACGTCACTGCTTATAACCGACTTATGATTATTATCAAATCATACCTGCGTGTTTTCTTCAAGAGAAACTGAATCGCTGGAGGACGAATCAGCTGGAGACTGTTGGTTGTACGATAAGGTGTCCCCGACAGAGAAGGCGGTACTGCAACATGATGAGGATTCCAAATCGGAGCTAAAGTTTGGAAACATATCTCTATAAAGCCGCAAAAAACAGCATTCAGACAATAAACAGCCCGAAGAATGATAGAATTCCCATAAAAAATGTTATTTTAACTGGCGAGGTGATCTTCTCCTCCGCTGGATTACAAACCAAGTAAGTGCTGTATGTTTTCTAGCTCACCCTATTATACTGAGCGAAAATTTTATGAATGAAACTGTGGACCAGGGCTGTACCATTTCTCTGAAGGGGAGAATCCAAAGCAAGTGAGAGGAACCACATATTACCGGTTTTGCAAGAATAAGATCAGACAACGTAACGTTGGTTTTAGTTGGAGGTGTTCGAATGAGATTTTGCCTTTTAACAAAAATGCATGCATATATATATATCAATCTACTATAAGATATATAAGAGACGACAGACGTTAAACAATATTTTGTATTGGACAGGAATCGATTGGATAAACTGCAGATCATATCTTCCAATTGTCATTGGAAGATGTGATCTGCAGTGAGTTTCTAATTAAGCTATTGCTGTGACCTTGGGAAAATGATCTATCCTCCTCCATTTTCCATCAGTATTTCTTTCTTTAGAATGATTTTCGATTAAATGAAACTCATATTATTATATTGTTCAATTCAGTACTTATTGTAATAAGTATGCGATATTTACATTGAGTATACCAAAAAGCACCGATATTGTTGAACATATAATTCAAAACCAACAATAAATCATTATACTGTGTGATTACCTCGGAGATACAAAATAATTGTCTTATTTTCAACTGTATCGCATTTATTTCACAGGTATTAAACAAGCCTTTCTGGGCAAAAAGAACAGCCACAATTATTTACGTTACCTTGGTGTACCAATCAATCACATGAGAGGCCTTCATATCATTTATCAGGGGTATCAAGCTTGAGTCCTGGAGGGCCGGAGCCCTGTGTAGCTTTACTCTATCCCTGCTCTACCACAAATGATTCAACTCAAGAGCTGTGTGATTATTAGCAAAAGGAGCCATGCATGGATCAGGTGTGTTAAATAAGGGGAAACCCAAAAATGTGCTGGGCTCCGACCTTCCAGAACTGGAGTTTGACACCCCTGCCAAATTTGGTACGTCCTAGTCTCAAATATTAGCTTGGAACTTAAACACACTATGTTACAACATGACATTGCTTGAAAACACGGTGAAATTTCAAGATTTCTCAAATTTATTTTCTCTTCAAAGAATTAGTAAATTAGTGATATATGGACGATATGCTGCGCAGATTCACGTAAGTGTTAAATATGGTTACCATGGCGACGTGAAATATTCACGGGACAAACATGGAATAACTCAATGTTAAGACAGCACTTAGTGGAAGTAGCCTATACTAGACAAACAGAAACATGATCATTAAGTCTTCCCTTGCTGCAATATAAAATGATATGAAAATACAATAACAAATATACCCTCTTTATGTTTATAAATTATTCTCCCATTCACTTTTGGAAATAGGGCAATTTATTTACATGACGTAACTAATTATTTCCCTATTACTCCGTTGCAGAACTATTTAAAAACTTACTTTCTTACCTTTTTTTCTTAATATTATTGAGTTTACATTTTAATTCGTTAAATATCTTGATAGTATTAGGGTAACATTCTCAATAGTATAAATGTTGGCACCTATTCAGAATTTACACTGGCAACCTCCTGAACTGATACCTGAACTATGCATGATTACACGTCACATATGAATAAAATGTGTATAAATTCAAGAAGTAACAAAACATGAACTAAGAAAGTTAAAAACAGATGCAATATGTTTACAATGAAAACAAAAATACAAATACCTTATTAGTACAATACCGACCAAATTATACACTGCGGATAACGTGTGTTGAAATGAAATGTTGTTATATATAACTTTTATGTGAGTATATGTGAGTGTTTTTGAGGGATCAAAACTGCAAGATTGATGATTATAGCATTTTATAAACTGTGATTATATAGACTCTTCCCGACATACTACAGGTTGCACCTTACATTAACAAAATTAATAAATATGACAGCCAGGTGAATGAATGACGGTAACACCGCAGCTGTTTCATAAGCTTTATGTGTTTCGTCATGTTTATGCAGTTGCGTGATTCCGTGTTTGTCGTCTGGCTTGTTAAAATGTCAACGCAAGAGCTTACCAATCTGCCTCCACACCCCTTTCTTCGCTGAGTTCTGACGTCTTTCGATGTTATCCAATTGAAAAAGCATTATGCCCAGTCTCTAGGGCTAGTTGCGATTACAAGTAGCGACCCGCCCCATTTACAGGATGCAACCATATAAGGATAATTACGTATGGGATTCCCTGGTTGGAGCAGTTCAAATTGTGAATGTGGGGTAGTTTTTGTTTTGGAAAACTTTTTTTAATGCACAATGAATTAGTATTTATACTGAGTTATATACATACATGTATATAAATTTAAATTTCTTAATTGATTTAGTATGTAGAGAAAGTTGGCTATCAAATTTACAAGCAGCATACACTTTTTATTTATGTTTCTTTAAAATGACTCCCCTGTAGTTGTTTGAAAATGCGAGATTAGTAGTCATAATATTAGGATATTTATTCATTCGAGTAGTATATAAGCTTCGCTGAGGACTTTCGCTGTCATAACTTCAGATCGCTTCGCGAGGGCGCGGTGATCAGCTAAATCGTGAATTTTACTATTGAAGACCCATCAGAGGGCTATTTTGACAGCTGAAGCTACATTCAACTTTCGATCATCGTTGGAGAAGAGCGTTTATTTTGGACTTAGGCATCGAAAATGTACCTAAGTTCTGGCTTAGAGTATGATTCTTCTCGCTCTAGCACAGCCTCTCCATCTGGGGATAATCTTTTTCAGTACTCGTCTTCCGCTGTTTCCTATTCTAACGTGGGCTCACCTTGCCAGTCTCAGGTAAGAAAAATGGATATTAAATTACATTACGGTTACAATACATCTATTTTTTCCGATCTTATCTTCTTTTTCGGGACCTAAAGATGCCTGAAATGTCTAGGATTTCGATTTGTGCCATGCTGACATTTGCTTTCTACAATCAAAATACTTTCTATGTGCATATTTGCGTTTCTTTGATGCGTCGCTTTGCGTCCTGCCTCCGGTGTTCTCTTATTTGCAAAATATGGTCACCCTAATTATACGAATAAGTAGATTTTCGCTAGGAATTAATTTATTTTGTAGATTATCAAAGTAATGCCATTTTACGTATAGTATCCATCTAGCTGGTGTGCAATTATATTAGTAATTGGTATAAGTAAATTCCTTCGTTGTGTTTACTAGAAACATATCCTCAAACGTAGTGGCTATATTGTGAAATTGCTCTCAGATATTCATTATTGATTAATTCGACTAGAAATAATCGTAAAATATACTACTGCGGAAGTCACAATTACTAGAAATTAATTGATTAGAAAGCTGTGCTGATTGCTTGGATCAGGATGAGTGTTGTTAAAATGGGATACTTTCTGAAAATTCGCTTTCTGGAAAAATCATCTGTGTCTTGAATCCAAACTTGATGCCATTCTAAATACTTTAATGCCCATAGAACACTATATAGAAGAGAAAATAATGTGTTATTAATTTAAACACATATTTCAACTGCAGAGTCTAACTGTCCCATTTTGCTGGGTGTCCCATTTTCACAATACTCACCCTATATATTTTTTTCCTCCAGTTTACAAGCACAGTGCATGCAAATTATCTATGTCTTTTAATATGTTGTCTTTTGAGCTTTTATTTTTGACTCATAATCTGTATGTGGTTTTCCTCTTCCATTTAGGGCATAAATTCAAAGATCTCCTTCACTCCAACAATCACAGACATTTCCGCAAGCTCCGACATGAAGTGGATGCTTCAGCCCACTACTCTGATTTCAACCATGAGCCCGTGCAACAGCAGAGGCAGTCCATACAATGTCAGGGGATCAAATATTCCCCAGTCCAGAACAGGGACGATCAAGAGAACAGACTCTAAAAATTATAATACTGGCAGAAGGGGAAGAAATGAGCAGGTAATTAAGCTTAAAAGTCTTCAGATTCAGCACACACACATGCACACATGATATACATAAATATTATATACATGGTAAAAATGTCAATACAATTTACATACTTTTCTCTAATTTGTTTTTTTAATTGCTGAGGTTAAATTCAATATGTAGCTTTACTGATGTTCAAAATTAAAGTCACAACAAAAGTGTGAGAGCAAAGAGATTAATGTCTTATTCAGTGCTGTTGGAATGACTGCTGAATACTATCTGATGGCTTAATTTGTTTTTGCATTATAGCTTTCCTCTGAAGAAGAACAGAAGAGGAGAGTGCGCAGGGAGAGAAACAAGCTGGCAGCAGCAAAATGCCGAAATAGACGGCGAGAAATTACAGACACGCTTCAAGCTGTACGCTTCTTTTTATCCATTGCTATAAATTTTAAACTTAATATTATTTTAATGTAATGTTTGTATATTACACATAATATAGTAATATATATTTATAGTAATTTTTTGTGTGTTGTTTCCTTTCCCCTTCCTCCCATTACAGGAGACTGATTCTTTGGAGGATGAGAAATCAGCTTTGCAGAATGAGATTGCTAGTCTCCTGAAGCAAAAGGAGAGGCTGGAGCTCATTTTACTGGTCCACAAACCAATCTGCAAAATCCCATCAGAAAAGGACAGTGAATCTCCCATGGAGAGTGTCTCCAGTCATCTGAGTATCCAGCATCCCACAGCCCACCCAAGTGGTTCCAAATTGGAAGTCCCAGCCACATTTTCCCGTAAAACCTCTGTCTTTGGCACCAGTCATGCTTTGGGTAATGAAACCGCTTCTACAGTACAGATGTCAGACCTTGATGCATCTCTGGAGGAATCTCTAGATCTGCTGGAATCATTGAGGGCGACATCAGTGGAGAAATCACAGTCCGTTCCTGATATTGACTTGTCCACCTCCTTATACACGCAGGACTGGGAGCCTCTGTATACCCCTGCCACTGGTGACTCTGGACCTCTTTGTACTCCAGTTGTAACCTGCACACCAACATGTGCTACTTACACGTCATCTTTTTCATTTGCCTACCCTGAGGCAGACCTTCTTGACAGCTGCCGTGTGGCCCACAGGAAAGAAAGCAGCAGCAATGAGCCATCCTCAGACCCACTGGGCTCACCCACGCTGCTTGCCCTGTAAGGACACTATAAGGTGCATCATGAACATGTGCGTACGACAGGTCTCTTCCATCTGTGGATGATGCAAAACTGTGGGGAAATTTCAGAGTCTGTCTTCCACTCTAAATCAAATATCTTGTCAAGCACCTATTTATTTAAATCTATCTATTTATTTATTTCTTTGTTTTGGAGGGAGGAGGGAGTAATGTTTGAGAAATGGAACAAAGTATGTTAAAGTCATACATACAAATTCCATCAAAGAAGGTTTAGGCTGTTGGTGCAGAATTCTTGCCTGTGGTTTGGCCTTTAAGTAGATGTAGGATATAATTGTGTTTTATATTATAATATAAAGTAATAATGCCTAACCCTGTTAAACATAACATTAAAGAATGGAGTAGTTCCATGAAAACATTGTTTTAGGTACAAGTATTTACAAATTTTATTTTTGTATTTAAAATTGGTCTTAAGCAATAACTAAAATCCTTGTTCATTCAATAAATATCTGAAAATGTGTCAAAAATGCTGTTTTGAGTGACACTCAACAGTCTCATCAATGGTGTGTAGACATATTTCTCCAAACACCAAATTTTTGCTACCTAACATAGACTGAATTCCAAAACCCCTTTTACACAAATTGCCAACACAGCACTTCCTTGGTTGCGCTTACTGTTCCGTTTCTGTCTCGAAAGCGGGGATTCCGATGACTCGCTACAATGGCACCAGAATTCCTGCACTTCGGTTAACGTCACACGTCATCCTGCAGACGTCAGTATACCACCTCCCCATTTGTGTCACGTTACCTTGTATCGCAGGCGTGATGCTGTTTCCGTGCCCAATTAAAGGTGTGCTCTCCTCAGTGGAAAGTTCCGGAAACTGCTTCACCGAGCGGTAGGGTGTTGTACTTACCGCTGACTGTCCACTGGAAAATAGGATAAGAATGTTTTTAAAAATAGTCAAATTGAGGGCTAATATTTTTGTGAGTTGACTAAATGTCTGCGTTAATGTCGAATAATATTAATGATCTGACCTCATAAGTTACAGTCGTTAGCGTATTTACTATGTTTTTGTAAATTATGCGCTTACAGTCTACAGTGCTGAACCCTGAAAGTAATAAGCCTAAATAGTAATGCATGTATTTTCTTTGAGGAAAATAACGTAGCGCTCGGCAGACCCAGGCATAACGGAGGCAAAAACTAGAGAGATGAGACGGTCTTAAAGACTCAAGAGGATGTGCTCTTTATTCATAACAAAACACATGTACTAACTACCACACCAAGGTACATAACGGGGAAACGCAGGGAGGTCTGACGCCGAACAGTACGACACATACAGGGTGGATTATTTATAGAGGGCACGGAAACACGCGAGTAACTATCACGGATCGGGGCACACATGGGTCAACACACTAACATAAGCCGGGGACACAGCACAACTATTGATATTAACAAACACGGGGGCTATTTACAAGGTTTTCAGTAAAATGCACAGTAAGTTCTTATCAAGCAACCATATATAATGAATTGTACTATATAATCACATAGATCTGGATACAATGTTGGTATAATATTTAGACGAATTGAAGGATGTAAAGCAGTGTAGAATACGGTAAATATGTTCATTACAAAAGCCTTGGAAACTTAGGAATGCGGTTTAAACAACTTGTGTATATATACACGTTTTCAGAAATTCATAATGTTTTTCAGTTATCGTTAAATATGTTTAATGCTTATTTTCACTCTAGAGTTTAATCTCTTCATATTTTTTTCTGAGTAAAGCAGTTGTATTGGGTATAAAGGCATTTACTATAGGTTCAAAAGACGTGATAATCTTTGATGGTAACGTTTAGTCTTGAGAGCATTTGACAAAAAAGACATTTTTTGTATTATCGATATATATTGCTACTTTTACCATGTTCAGTCAAGGGCTATCTGGTCTGAACCTGTGGAAAAACAGTGAAGCTGTGATGGATATAAAGAATGCCCACTTGCCTGACTCATGATTGCAGATTTATATATCTAGTTATGGAATGTTACTCAGCATTACCCATCTGGAACAGATATCACTGTGACAGTTTTCATTTTCATCCTGGTTTATATGGTGTACTGCTGCCCTGCCTTATCCTGTAAGTTTATTGCAGTGGTATTTGAATCTCTGTGAAACTGATTGGAGAAGCAATTATGGAAGGTGGACATGCTGAGTGCGTTTGTTGTATAATAAGGAGGCAGTAGTTTTATGGGGGTGTTATTGTAGCAAAATTATTTGTAAATGTGTGTGGAGACTTGTATAACTAAATCTGTGTGTGCGTAATCAGATTTGTAAATCTGCAAAAGAATCTCTAAATGTCTCTGAACAAGTGCTAGGGAACCAAATGGTAATGATATAGAAATGTCAATTTGACATACATAATATTATCATTTCTGAAGTGACTGAAGCAACTAAAGGAGGCTCCAAAAAATTCTACTATTCAAATACCATTAATTCAGGTCAGTGTGCATGGCTGTTTGCTACAAGCTGTTAGGTTGTTTCCCTCCTTCCCTCGACCTTTTAAATGCGTGCTGTTCCAGTCATGGCCATAAGCTGTAATGTGACAGAATTTGTCCGTCTGGTGTCATTTTTAACTGACATAACATTAGTTATCACTCATTTACATATGCTGTCACTGGTACAGAAGCCTGTTAATGTTTCCTTCATTCTATATTTCTACCAGATTGTTTCCTTTTTCCAGATGTCTTTCTTTTTGGATGTTATTTGATATATCGCTTAAACCTCTTAGGCTAAGTTGACAAACTATCACATTACAGCATATGGTACAGTCACGACTGCAATATCGCATTGCTTTGGTCTCTTGAGTAATGATAGTATATGTTAACGTGAATTTTTTTTGCCCTTATCAATTTGTTCCCTAGCATTTGTTTAAAATGCAAATGTTATTTACTCATGGGCTGTTCGAAGAGCTGTCTCATTGACAGCAGCCATCATACCCAGGAAAAAGTACAGGTTAAGCTTTATATCAAATTCCTTATTTTTAGACATAAATGCCAAATCAGGGGTATCGTTACCCTTAAGCAGAAAATGTTAATTATTCAACTTCACCTGCAGTTAATCGCTCAGGTTTTAGTTTTTGGGAAAATGGTAAACTTTCTTGCCTCCCTCAAGGTGTGTAGGCTACTGAGGCACAGGTGGTTTTACCATTATGTGGCATAATGTTTTTAAACAAAACTCCTGAGAAAAGTGACAAAAAATGTCTGCTTCTTTTTGTCAAACCTCAGCTCAGGGTTAGCAGAACCTTATCCACACAGACAAACCTCCATATGCATTTGTAGATCTGCCACGGCAGAAGTGTAGCAAAACCCATGTAAAGTGACAGCCCCTTGTTGTAACTGATGACTTGTGTGTATTTCCAGCTCTTGGAGCGAAACACTTAGACTTCGCATATAGCAGAAAATTATCAAATGTATATCTCCTTCATTTAAGAGTCAGGAATTTTATTTGTCATATGTATACGGAGTATAGCTATTTAAGCTGACTACTCTTCAAAAACAATTTACAAAATTAAAATTTGAACATGGCTATATATATATCCTTGTGTCACCTTCTGCTCACTTTTGGGACTGGGGCTACCAGCAGGGGCTGGTAGTTTCTTTTAACATTACCATCTAGAACAGAAAAATTAGAATGCTCTGACTCATACCTTGCATTCCTGCCCCCTTGTTCTCTCTCTAGTGTGGCTCTAATGAGCCACACCTGTTGCTTGTTTTCTTACCTCTTGTTTCAGCCCTCGTATTGATCACTCCAGCTGCCCCTCGTCTGCTCCCTCGTTAGTCCTGTATGAGTGCCTCCCAGTCCAGTGCTCCCCAGTTCTGTCATTGAAGTCTAGTGTGTGTATATGCCTCCCTACCCACTCTTGGTTCTCTGTTTACTGATCTGTTTTGTTTCTCAGCCCCTCCTTAAGTGCAAATAAAAGCTCCTTTGTTTTTCCCCAACATGTGCTTTTGCCTACCTGATTCCGGGACACAACACTAACAACAACCTATGTTAGTACTATGGCTGATGAAGGGGGGCTGACAGAGGATGAAGCCACACAGAGGATCAGTCTTACACCTCCAAGGTCTGAGTTTGATTCCTGTCCCAAGCTGTGAGTGGTTTGCATATTTTCCCCTTGTTTCTATTTTCTGAGGAAACGCAGATCCTTCAATGTGTGCTGTAAGATGGTGGAGATCATCTACGATTCTTTGCTGTAGCAGTGCCCCAGACTATCTTTTCCAGTGGTAAGACTGCTGTTACTTGGTTGTACCAGCACATAATTTGGTTCCACCCTTCTTTTTGGTGCAGTAAGGTGTTAATCAATGACCTAATATGGTGATTGTCTTAATTTGCACACCCTTGTTTTTGTATTGATGAAAAATTGAGTGACTCAAGACTTGATACAGTAACCCCTTCACGTTCCTGAGGGTTAGGGGCATTAGATCCATGTGAATGTGAACTTTTATTATAAACAAAGGAATCCCTCACCGCTGCCCATAACAGTCTGCTTGCCTGAATGAGAACATAATAGTCTATTTCTTACCAGATTCTAAACAAACAGGACTGTGCACTTTGCATGTCAAATTACTTTATTTGCATGTCAAGTCATTTTCTGTCAAGACATTTTAATATAATATACAAGCCATCTAAATTATGCCCCTGTACAGTATGTACAAAGATACTACTGACTGCACTGGGAGCATGTTTTGGATTCATTATTAAAAATGTAAAATTAAAGGCAACGAAAAGTTTCAAAGTTACTGAGGGAAATACAAGATTCCACAGCCATTCAGACAGCTACATGAGTGAGGCAGGTTAAGACAAAGATGCATGGTGAACCTAAGCAAAGAATTTCAGTATGCACTTACACAAACAAATTATGTATCACATATATTTATACATTGCATGATTTATGTGACCCAAATCATTTTCAGTATTTTTTTGCTTACGTGTCATCTGAGTTTCTGTGACCTTTCAGCAAGCTCCAAAAATATTCCCGTTTAATTGTCCCAGCCAACTCAAAAATGACACTTAACTACGAATGTCAAATGCACAAATGTTAGGTCAGGTCAGGTTTGGGAGCATGCGCTGATGCAGTGTGTTGCCGCATCCACCAAAACTCCTTGGGATCCCAGCCGGCAACCCCCCAGGCAGACACCCAGTCCAGCCCCACCTTCTGGAAATGGCCATCCATCAGCCACAGCCAGGTGTTATGTGGGCGTCCCCTCGGCCTGGTCCAGCCACTTGTGTCCCCAGCAATGAGGATCCTGCGAGTCGGATCACCCTCAGGGAAACGCGCCACATGGCCATAGTGCCGTAACTGACATTCCCTCACAATGCAGGTAATGTGCCTCATTCGTGACTCCTCTAGCAACCGCACATTCAACACAAAGTCAAACCAGTGGTACCCAAGGATTCTCCGAAGAGACATAATTCGAGTCCAGTCTTCATCTCAGATCACTGGATACATACAGCAAGACAGGAAGCACCAGGACTCTAAAGACTTGGACCTTTGTCCTCTTGCAAAGATATTAGGAGCACCACACACCCCATTCCAGCAAAATCATGACCCCCCAATGCCCCATGCTCTTCAAATCCATCTGCTGACTTCATAGGAAGATTCACCAGAGACATGTCACAGCCGAGGTAGGTAAATCTCTCAACAAGGTCAACATTCTCCCCGCAGACAGACACACTACTGATGGCTTTGTCCAAGAAGTCTTGGTCTTTATCCAGGACACCCATAATCCCAGACACTCAGACTCCTCGCTGTCTCTCAAGATCCCTGATCAGAGCCACTATTAATTCCACTAAGATCACTAATGTAAAAGGGGCAAATTTCTGTTCTTGTAAAATATTTGAATCTGACAATTAGTTGTAATCTCTCATCATCACTTGTGTCTGTCTCATTACCTCTCTTTGACTATTGTTAATTGTATACAGTTATTTAAAACATAAATTATATTTTTAACCCCAACCCTCACCAGGAGAGATGTTGCGAAGATACCATAATGTGCCGTAATAGTTTATAAATTTATTTTATGCTGGTTAGTTAGTAAGTTAGTTCATAACATCATAAAACTAAATATTAAAAAAAGTTATTGTCTAGCATATAGTCTTCATTTCCGTTTGATACATCAGTTATAAAATACACATTTTCAGTTGCTCTTGAATAAATGCTTATAATCCTCCACTACAGTGGTGGCGCTGTTAATACTGCAAGCTCCCTTTGTGCGGCTGCTCGGTGTTACGCAGCAGAATAGGCTGACGCTTCTGTTGCATCCTGGGGGCTGACCATGTCGCGGCTTTACGTGTTTCTTATTATGCCAGTTATATTCCAGTTGGTATCGTCTATCTCATTCTTTTTACCTGTAAATTCTCGAAAGTGCCTGCGGGAGGAAATACATAAAGACGTGCTTGTAACGGGGGATTATGAACTTGGCGAGCAGCCGAACACTAAAACCAACCTGAAGGTGAGTCCGGATGGGGCCGTGGGACATTGCAGGACTAAATAAATAAAGGAAAATATTTGGTATTGCTCTTGTAAGTATATAAATGCTGTCTGATTCGCGCTTACAGTCGTTAGTCGCTTCCCGACAAGTAGGCCTAATTTTGGCACGGACGTTTGTTGTGCCAGTTAGCTGATCTGCACACCTAGCCTACCGGTAATCTTTTACAAAGTACTAAGTAGGTCGAGAGGGTGCTGCCCGGACCCAGCAACAGGGTTCCCGCGGGTTCTTAAGTCTAAAAATCAGAAAGTTAAATTTAAGGGCTTAAAATGTCTTAAAAATGCCCAGATTTTCATCCTAGGTCTTAAATTTTATTCACCCAAGTCATAAAAGAATAAACCTACGTTTATTCTCAAAAAGCGTTGACCGCAGAAAATAAAATAGTAAAACGCTGTAAAACTAATCGATGGGTTGTGTTTTCTGGTCTGCGCCGGTGTCTGCGTGGTAATAAAACTACAAATCCCATTGCGTGATCACTGCAGCTAGGCAAACAAACAACAGTTTGAGAAGGGTCTGGCTGCAGAACGTGCACTTTCAGCCACTGACGTCCTGCCCCGCTCGTCCGCTCCTCCCGTGTGCCACGCCCCCTCGTTAACCCCGTGTGGATTCTCCGTGTTTATCAGCTGTTTCCAGTTGTTTTCATTATCGTTGATGGGTCTGGAACATAACTTCCGCGATAGGCGGGGGATCACTATGCATTTTAAGGCTTAAACTATAAAAAAAAGTTTATGTATATGGTCTTTCTATATCGCGGATTTTCACCTATGGCTGATGGGTCTGGATCCCCCGCCTATCGCGGAAGTTACGTTAAAGACCAATCGGCGATAGGTGAAAATCCGCGATATAGAAAGACCATATACATAAACGTTTTTATAGTTTAAGCCTTAAAATACTACTCCCACATGCTTTAAACACATGTGAACTTATTAAAACGCACTTTGTAAACACATATGATATGTGGATGTTGGGCTAAGGATATGAGTGACATAAAATATGAGAATTTCTGGTATCATTCGAATGTTTCTAGTAATGCATCGTGTTGGTCTTAAATTTTACTCAATGTTCTTAAAATGTCTTAAAAAGGTCTTAAATTTAACTTACTGAAACCTGCAAGAACCTTGCAGCAAGCTCCCATCCCATCACACATGGTTTTTATATTTCTTAACACTGAGGTAGAAATGAGCGGAGCTTTTGACGTGCCTTTTAGTTCCTGGCTGTCGTGTTTCTAGCCAGGATGCACGTTTGTATGTCTGCGATTAGACTGTACTTCTGCAGCAATCTACAGCGGTCAAGCTATCCACGCTTTGCCGAAACTTGGTCAAATCGTCCGCGCTTAAAATGAGTGGTGCACGCATTGACGTAACATTACGCGTTTAGGAAAATAACACTAAGCGATCGCGCATAGAAAATGGTTCAACACTTATTGACATATGTATTACGTACAGGATGTACTAAAATAAAATTAAATTCTTATTTTCCCATAATGTAAAAAGCAAATCAAAATACCATACCCGACGGCAGGATGAACAGTGGTACAGCAGGCATGCAGGAGAGACGTCACAGGCAGAGGGACAGGCAGGCTGGAAGGACGTGACAGGTAGCGGAGGCGTCGCAGGCAGCAGCAATGGCAGAATATCTCAGGCTGGGTTCTGTGCCTCTAGGCAGCACACCCCAGGAAATGCATGGTTTTATGCGCATTTGCTTATATGAGCCAAGTTTGACAGGACACATCTCAGAATATTCCCATAAAGTACGGTGTATACAAGTCTTATACCATCTGAAAGGCAAGGTCCTAAGTAGGGCTGTCACAATATAGTCACGGTCATACGGTGCTTGCACAATAATCACCCAGGCTGTATATGATGGGTGTAAGCTGTAGTCTGGAAGCCATCTTTTTGGTGCTATACAGACATTTAGTAACACCCACGATTTGGTAAGCAGGTTATTAGTATGGCTAAAATATTAATGAGGCATATTGTGACGCCTAAAAGAAAGTAATCTGTATCCATTCAGTGTATCCTCAGATTTAAATAAAACCGCATATCCTACCATATGTGATATCCTACCTGATTCTATAGCTGTGAGTATCCTGCAAGGTGAATAAGAGGTAGATGATATAGATTAAATAGATTTCTGCTCACCATGACCTGTTCTCTCCTCTAATGCTTGAACATTGTCTTATAGTAAGGATTAATTCTTTAGGCTATTTGGTTTTTACGGACGTATTTTGGTTGTAAGATGCTGAGGATGGCTTAATTCCAAAATGCATCCATCATTTGTTATGCTTTCAATAAATCATTGAGAGTATATTCTTGAGAGTGTGTTTTTTTTCTACGTTATTATTTAAGTCTTTAAACTTGCATCCAAAGATCAAACTAAATTGAAGTTGAGTGCCCAGTTAACTGCTGTTGTGGATTTTTTTAGCAAGCACCCTGCTAGAAAATAAAAATATATTTTTGGTTCCCCTTATTTACAGTTTTTCATTGCAAAGTCATCCCTTTTGTAAACTTCTATGTGTTCTGTTCAGTTATTGTAATGCACTCTGACTAAAAAAAAGATGACTGACTTTAAGAACCTGTCGATTCATGAGTCTTTGACTTTCAGGGGGCAGCCCTAGTTGTATCACGAAAACTCTGAAATGCTTATTGTGGATACAGTTGCAACCGATCACGATAAATTACTGCATCATCACCCACCACTATTTGAAACCATCCTTTCAAAACTTACAATGGCCTGTAACATAGACTAAGCTTGTGCTAAATAACTGGGGCTTCATAATACACATGGTGATTTAGGGGGAAGGTCCGTTTTATACTGTGACTTTCTGGCTCCCTGGGTATCATTCACGCCTGTCTATATTCTTTGCAGATCACAGACTCCTCTGGACATATCCTGTACTCAAAAGAAGATGCATTGAAGGGGAAGTTTGCTTTCACAACAGAGGACTATGACATGTTTGAAGTTTGCTTTGAGAGCAAGTTTCCTATGGGTATGTATTTAGCTTCTGCTACCTCGCTGTTTTTGTGATGTATGGAACAGCTGATTTTTAGATGTATCTTTATCTCCTGCAGTGAGGGTTGCATTAATTTACTGAGGTCCCATTAACAGTTGAGTGTTTCCTGATGATTTTTTTAATGCTGATTTCAGGAACTGGACGGGTACCTGATCAGCTGGTCAACCTGGACATGAAACATGGAGTAGAGGCTAAGAACTATGAAGAGGTGAGTGTTAAGTGAGCACAACACAAGATATGAACTCTCACCTCCCCTTTGTCAGTATCATACCAGAGTGCTTCTTTCTGTTTGTCCTCCTTGACCTCCCTTGTAAAAACTCTGGACTAAATTGCAGTTTCCTGCATGATTACATCCTATAGTATCGATGCAGGTTCATTGAAGTAGATTGTGGTATTTGGCACTTGTATTTGTCTTGTGGCACTGTCGCCTGACATTGGTTCTCCTATGTGCTGCATGTTATGCGATTGTACATCCCAGGAAGATAATGTTTTACTGTGGTGTGAACAATATGTTTTATGACAAATTTTTATGTTTGTTGGTGAAACTTGCTAGTTTTCATTTTACATTTTGGTTGCATTTCACCTGATGCAACTTTTTCCTGGATCATGAGCAGTGCTCAGGCATCATCTCTTTTCCTGTCTTTCCATGTGTCTCCAGTCAGGCTGCTCTGTGTGACTGTAGGTCACCCCCCATAGCTGTAAACTGTGTAGACTCAGTGGTGCTCTCAGTAGTGGTGTACTTCCTTTTAATTTTGTCCTAATTTTTTCCTCTAAGTATGTTGGCGCTGAGTTATGCATGGGTAATGGACCACTGCTAACTGTGATACATTAAAGTTGAGTCTGTGTATGTATTTGGGGAAAGTGGATTTAGTGTTGAACATCTGCTTTGAGATTCTTGAGCAACAGTGACATCTGCTGGATGAAAATGTTATGTTGGTGAATGTGACTTGCTGTTATTTATAAAATTTTCATTTTAACTGAATAGCAAGTACAGTTAACATTGAGTCAACAGAGTGAGTGTCTTAACTTCAAATTTTGGGTTAGACCACTGCAGGACCCCCCCCCCCAAATGATGGCTTTGTACTCACTGCCAGATCGCCAAGGTGGAGAAGCTGAAGCCCTTGGAGGTGGAGCTCCGGCGATTGGAGGACCTGTCCGAGTCCATTGTCAATGACTTTGCATATATGAAGAAACGAGAGGAGGAAATGAGGGACACTAATGGTATGAATGCAGCTGAAGTGAAGTAACAGTGCATAGTTGCATCTCTGCAAGCCCAGCTTTATAAGTAACTTAACCTTTTTAAACGGGAAAAGCCTTGTGCTGTAATGAATTATTGGAGAAGCTGAGTTACTGAATTGATTACTTGCTATACCAAGGTGAAGAAATATAATCTGTCCTTTGGTGATGCAATGCAGTTTGCTTTAAAAGTGAGATGTGAAGAACTGGGAATATATCGAAACAAATCCAGGCTCCACTGACTTGTCCTGCCATGGTTCAAGTGTCGTGCTATATAATTGTGGTGATTGTCACAGTAATTTCCATCCTTTCACCAAGGGATGGTAATAATATAAACCACTCTTCTTTACAGATGACAGCACAAACAGTCATGTAATAGTCATGATTTTAGTCAGTGTCTCATCCGGCTTCCGGATATGTGTTGCTTTCCAGAATCCACAAACACAAGAGTCCTGTACTTCAGCATCTTCTCCATGTGCTGCCTGATCGGCTTGGCCACCTGGCAGGTGTTCTACCTCCGCCGTTTCTTCAAGGCAAAGAAGCTCATCGAGTAGGGAGCCTCATGCGTCTGCCACTCAGCTAGCCTGCTTGCCCAGCATTGTGAAGGGAGCGAAGGGTGCCTTCCATCTTGGGAAGAGTGGAGTGGGTACATTCTGGGACTGCAAATGTCATGTGATCAGCTAAAAGAGGATCCTACACTGTGCAACTTTGTTGCTCAACTTTGTTTTGAACATAAGTGGAAGTTTGTGAGAGGGCGTTTTGAAAGTTAGGCAAATGTGTTTTTAACTTTGCCCTACTTTAAAAACCCTAATCAAAGTGCCTATCTTGCAATATACTGTAAGCCTTGTGAAGATATTTGTTGAATTCCCTTCCTTAATTGTACAATGACTTTCTGCACAAACATAATTTTCTGCCAATGAAAATCCTTCTGAAAGCTCTCAGAAATAGACTTTTTCATGTCTTCTAAGTGAACTTTTATTTAAGAAGTAACGGAAGTATAAATTTAAGACTAGATGGTGTTTTTCTTTTTTAAAGCTACCAGCAGTTATGTGAGCAAGTTTTAATTTGGGTGGTATCTTTAAAAATATACAAACTATTACATTTGTATTCCTTGTATCTTTTATCAAGTTTTTTTCTGATAGTCTTTTACATTTTACCTTGTGAGAAAATTTCAGACCATTCTGAATTTTCAACATTAAATTATAACTAGGGCTGTGAAAGAACATATTAATGCATAGTGGTAATCTGTGGAAGCCCGTTTCTGCTACTTACAAAAGAAATCAACTTGAGAAATAATTGCAAGAAATTAAGCAGAAATTGCAAGTTCCAATGAAGCAAACTTTTTTTTTTAAACAACCAACAAGTAGCCAGATCCATCGATTCTGCTCACAGTTCAGTGCACTCCTGGTACAGCTGCAGACAAGAGTGAAGGCTACAATGACTGTCTGCTCTGTCCAGGCGTTTTACTATTTACAGTGTCAGTCAGTCCCACCCCCTCATAGTAATTGGCCAAGCATGCTTTCATTATGAAAAGTAGCACTATGAAATAAGCTCGTGTGAGTATACACAAACATTGGTGCATGCAGTTGTTTTATAGTACAAGTTAAAATGATGCAATACTATAATCTGCATTCGTACACCTACGCCTGTATTCTGTAGCTCCTGTGGCATGTACAGCATAGACTGTCCTTTCGATACTCCCAATAGTGTGATATTGTGCCAGAAGTGTTTAGTTATTGTAGAGTTGGAGTACAGTATTTGGACATTGCTGGAGTGCATTAATAATAATAATAATAATACATTTTATTTAAAGGCGCCTTTTAAGGCACACAAGGACACCTTAGCAAACACAATATACATTGTTGCCATACAAAAAAATAGCATCTAATAAAACAAAACAAAAAATGAATAAAAATAAAATAATTTAAAAGCTGTCACAGCAGCAGAATCATGATGAGTGTACAGGTTTAAAAAGATGTGTTTTAAGATGAGATTTAAATAAAGAGATCCTATCGATATTACGGATATCAGGAGGTAGAGAATTCCATAGACTTGCCTAAAAGCTCTAAATCCCATAGTGGTCAGGCGAGCACGGGGCACAACCAGAGAGACAGAGTGGGAAGATCTGAGAGTGCAGGAAGTAGTGTAATATGTAAGAGATCAATAAGATATGAAGGAGCAAGATTGTGAAGGGCTTTGAAAGCGAACAGTAGAATTTTGTAATCAATACGATATTTAACGGGAAGCCAATGAAGTTGCTGAAGAACAGGACTGATACGAGCCGTGATAGGAGGCCTGGTAATAATATGAGCGGCTGCATTCTGTACTAACTGGAGCTTATGAAGGAGCTTGAGAGGTAAACCAGATAGAATGGAATTGCAGTAATCAATATGTGATGTGAACAGGACGAAGATGGTTAATATTGCGGAGGTGAAAATATGCAGATTAGATAATATGAATTTGCTGTTTGAAAGACAAAGTGCTGTTAAGGATGACACCCAAAATCAACCTGAGCAGACTGAGAAACGGTGGAACAATCAATTGGTAGAGGCTAAGGTTAGGGTTAGAAAAGGTATGGCGTTTTCAGGCATCAAAATGTGTTTTTATGATATTTCTCGGCCCGCGTAGGATGGGAAACCACAGTCTAGCTTGTATTAGTAACATATTTCCTACTTTGCAACAGTCTATTTTATCACTGGAAGGCCCAAAATTAGAGTTAGTAAGCTGAGGTTAGGGTTAGGGTTAGAAAAAGTGTCACATTTTCAAGTATCAAAATGTGTTTTTATGATAGTTTTGGGCCCACGAAGGATAGGAATCCACAGTTTAGCTCACTTTAGTAGCATATTTCCTACTTTGCAAAAGTTTCTTGTGTAATCCTACAGCCCCAAACCAGGGGTTGCATGCTGAGGCTAAGGTTAGAGTTAGAAAAAGAATGGCATTTTCAGGCATCAAAATGTGTTTTTATGATAGTTCTGTGGTCCCCGTAGGATGGGAAACCACAGTTTAGCATGCTTTAGTAGCATATTTCCTACTTTGTAACAGCCTGTTGTTTCACCCTAAGGCCACAAATTAGGGTTAGGGTGAGCAAACTCAGGCTAGGGTTAGAAAAAGTATGGCATTTTCCAGCATCAAAATGTATTTTGATGATTGTTGCGTCAAACTCAGTGCATCTAGAAACATCACACAAACATGAGCTCTCATGGGAACTGCTCTGGACCTCCTAACCTGTAGAGGGCAGAAAGAACAACCTTTGTTTGTTAGGACCCTTAAAGACCAGCCAGTGTTTCTGGGGGGACCCATATACTTGTGCACCTGCTGAGAGAAAAGTTTTGAAAGATAGGCTTCACTGGGATTTCTCGGCAACCAAATAATAATAATAATAATAATAATAATAATAACTGATACTTTATTGATCCCCATGGGGAAATTGTCTTTACACCTCCCTCAACTTTTCTCTGTTTCGTAGAGTAAGTTGTCTGCGACAATAAAATAAAAGAACACTCAGCTAAATATCAAGAAACTGGAGACGCAACTGGTAGGATAGGGAGATGGGCATTTAAAATGTATAAATGTATAAATCAAGTTTGAAATGCATAAATGACATCACCAGTATTTGACTCATGACCAGTTGCTTGTCTGCTAAGCTTGTCTGCTCAACTCGCTTATTTACTTGATCATGTTGAACTACATGATTAGGGTTAGGGTTAGGGTTTGATGGTTGTATATTATGAGCAAAAGAGTGTAACAGTCTATTGGGCAATAACTATTGGCTCAATTTGCATTATATTATTGTATTGTATTATTGAATTTCTTAAAAGTCGAACCAACCATTTCGAAAAAAAATTACCTAGAACTTGATCTGAATCTCAGAAGTCAAACCGTGAATGCCAACCTAAGATAACTTGTATGCGCGGGGAAATTAGTCTTTCATCGGAAACAAAGGGTAATGCTTCAGTCTCAGCCTCGCATTCGCTGTGATAGCATCATGCATGTTTACACTAACTGAATACATACACTCACCTAAAGGATTATTAGGAACACCTGTTCAATTTCTCATTAATGCAATTATCTAATCAACCAATCACATGGCAGTTGCTTCAATGCATTTAGGGGTGTGGTCCTGGTCAAGACAATCTCCTGAACTCCAAACTGAATGTCAGAATGGGAAAGAAAGGTGATTTAAGCAATTTTGAGCGTGGCATGGTTGTTGGTGCCAGACGGGCCGGTCTGAGTATTTCGCAATCTGCTCAGTTACTGGGATTTTCACGCACAACCATTTCTAGGGTTTACAAAGAATGGTGTGCAAAGGGAAAAACATCCAGTATGCGGCAGTCCTGTGAGCGAAAATGCCTTGTTGATGCTAGAGGTCAGAGGAGAATGGGCCGACTGATTCAAGCTGATAGAAGAGCAACTTTGACTGAAATAACCACTCGTTACAACCGAGGAATGCAGCAAAGCATTTGTGAAGCCACAACACGCACAACCTTGAGGCGGATGGGCTACAACAGCAGAAGACCCCACCGGGTATCACTCATCTCCACTACAAATAGGAAAAAGAGGCTACAATTTGCACAAGCTCACCAAAATTGGACAGTTGAAGACTGGAAAAATGTTGCCTGGTCTGATGAGTCTCGATTTCTCTTGAGACATTCAAATGGTAGAGTCAGAATTTGGCATGAACAGAATGAGAACATGGATACATCATGCCTTGTTACCACTGTGCAGGCTGGTGGTGGTGGTGTAATGATGTGGGGGATGTTTAGGCCCCTTAGTGCCAATTGGGCATCGTTTAAATGCCACGGCCTACAGAGCATTGTTTCTGACCATGTCCATCCCTTTATGACCACCATGTACCCATCCTCTGATGGCTACTTCCAGCAGGATAATGCACCATGTCACAAAGCTCGAATCATTTCAAATTGGTTTCTTGAACATGACAATGAGTTCACTGTACTAAAATGGCCCCCACAGTCACCAGATCTCAACCCAATAGAGCATCTTTGGGATGTGGTGGAACGTGAGCTTCGTGCCCTGGATGTGCATCCCACAAATCTCCATCAACTGTAAGATGCTATCCTATCAATATGGGCCAACATTTCTAAAGAATGCTTTCAGCACCTTGTTGAATCAATGCCACGTAGAATTAAGGCAGTTCTGAAGGCGAAAGGGGGTCAAACACCGTATTAGTATGGTGTTCCTAATAATCCTTTAGGTGAGTGTATATTTAGACAGTAAAAATACATTTAGACAATGATAGACAGTAACAGTAATTATTATTATATAATAAAATACATTTAAAAATAAAGATTTCTTATTAATTATTTTAATATGAATAATACACCATTAATACATTTAATTATAATAATATTGTCCTGCCCAGCAGGGACGGAACAGAGACAAAGGCGCAGACATCAAGGTATCAAGGCAGGCAAAACGCAGACGGACAATACAATGACTGGACTGGAGAAACAAACTGAAACGCGGACTAAATACAGAGGATTAATGACAACAACCAGAAACAGCTGATCACACTGGGATTCCAAGCTGGGTTAACGAGGGGGCGTGGCACACGGAAGGAGCGGACGATCGGGGCATGACACATTGTTTTGTTTTTTTTTTAACTTTACACATTGTTTGGATACATTTATTTTCTTACTTTAAAAAATACTGTTTTGATAAATGTGCTTAGATGTCTTTAGTACAGTATATGCTTTTCTTGTTTTGTCCAGTTCATTTTGTGTTTAAATGCTAAAACAAAACATATTTTGGTGTAAAAAAACAACATATTTTGGTGTAATTTTTTGGGGCCGGGAACCAATTAATTGGTTTTCCATTATGTCTTATGGGGAAAATTCGATCAGAACTTTTTAGGATTCGGTCCGTAGTTCTGAACGGATTTATTTTATAGTTCTGAGGTACCACTGTATGTGTAATCCAGTGTTGGATTCTTTTATTTCGCGGAGTGTGTATAGGGCGTGGTGTAGGTTACTTTGATTTAATTGGGTACTGTTTTTATATCCACCAATCGAGGAAAGGGGAGGGGGGAGTGCGGGAACTCTGGCGGGGGCTCGAGAGAGAGGGAGAAGCTCGCTGAACTAGAGGCGACA